GTCAACAGAAAAGGACTTCATACTTTCTTTTGGAATTTCATAGAGAGGTTTCCAGTTGATGCTATCCACAGTTTGATTCTTGGGAGCTAATATGACCCTCTCACAAAGACAATTTGATTCCCTGAAATGGTGTTTAATGTTTGGATAAACATGGTTAATCCAGTTTTGGATAATTGAGACAGAAACTCCACAACCATTTGGGAGTGAAATATTTCCATTTTGGTCTATTTTGATGCTTCCCTTGTCAAGCTGCAACAGCAAATCTTCCTGCTTCAAAGTCACCTGTGATTCTAACTCTCATGTTTGTTTTCAGGCTGAGTCTTTGAACATGGCTCCAGATGTAAGAATTTGTCTAAAATCACCAGAGAGTAGCACAGTGATACCTCCCATGATTTTTGTATTCTGTCTAATGTCTTTGAGTGTTTTATCCAGGCCTGCAAATGCCATGGTACATTTACCCTAGACAATGAAGCTTGTATCCTCCAGTATCTTAGCCAAGTTGGTTCCACTTTGGATGTTGCAAATAGGGTTTTCATTATAGTTCAAATCCAATATAAATTTGAAGGTGCTGTGTGCTGTACACCCTCCAGGCATGAAGGTAGCACGAATCCTAGATGATGTTACTGCTAGAGCTATTTTTTTTTATTTTGGAGTCTCACTGTAGATAAAAGAAGGTTAGTTACAAAGGTTTTACCAGTATCTCCATGTGCGTCCAAGAAGAAAAAATTCTTCCATTGTTGTTGCTGATGTCATCAAGGACCTTCTGATGCACTTGCTGTTGGTCTTAGTTCAGCAGGGGCTCATTGTTTTGAACACATTGCCACAGTTCTTCCATACTGTATCCTGTTTCTCTCAAAATTTCTCTGCTGTTTTCTTCATTTTCTCTCTTTGGATTTGGCAAACTGAAATTGCTGAGATGACTTTGTCCTCAGTTTCACAGAGAGCTAAATTTGCAATCTGAGGATTCAATTCCAATTCAGGATGATCAAATCTCATTTGAAGAAGATGAAATATTTAAAAGTTAAAGTGTCCCTTTAATTGAAAAAGTGTGACATTTTCACATTTATCATCTGTTTATGTGAAACCTAAGTAGGTTGTTTCTGGCTCTTTAGGATTTATTTCATTTATCCTTGCTCTACTTAGCGTATTGAGCACTCTACATTTTAGCTTTATTACTTGCTTGGGGTTTATTCTTTGGACTAAAAACTTAAGGCACTGGACAATTTATTTCACCCTGTTTGGATGTTTCTAGTTCTGTTTTTTTTTCCACTTTTTTTCCTCAGTTACCAATTTGTGTTGATAAACTTACAAGTTTTTCCAACCGAGTATTACTAGTAATACACACACACACACACACACACACACATATATATATATATATATATATATATATATATTAAAATAAAATATATATTATATATTTTAAAGAAAACAGACCACTTTAAGGTACCATTATGATAATTTATTTCACCAGAGCTCTTTTAAAGGATGCCGGATCATCAGATAGCACTTCCAAAAATGAAATGAAACGAAAAATGAAATTAAAATTGATGGGTAGTGTAAGTTTTTGTAATTTAACAGAGAGTGTAAAAGGAGTAGTTAAAGAGACATGGTAGAGTTTAGGGAGGGATTAATTTCATATGTCTCTCAATCATACTTAGTATTGGGGGAGGAGGAGTGACCAGACCAGATATATATATATATATATATAAAGAGAGAGAGAGATTTAAGTGTCCCATATTTCTAATTTTTTAATCTAGCAACCCTAAGACAATCCTAAGCAATTATTATATTTATTTGTTTATTTCCACTTTTTAATTAATATTATTTTGTATTTGTTGAGTAAGTTAACTGTTTAAAATCAAAAGATCAAATGACAAAATAAACACAGCATGCAAATACTCCACACAGCCTTCCAGTTTCAAATTAATAAAAATAAAGAATAGCCAATAAAATCAGTTCCCACCAATAAATAAACAGGTTTATGGATCCTACACAAAGTCATAGAAACCAGATATCAATTCAACTCGGCAAAAAGACTAACAGCGGTAAAGAGACATGAGTCAACCTCAACATTCTGTCTTCCCAACAAAAACAGCAGACTCTTTTTGATTTTGTCTCCAAACTCCACTTTCTCTCTTCCTCTTTCCTTTTCAAAGAGAAGAACTTTCTAAATATAAACTTTTATTTTGTGATAGTAGTTACAGTTAAGGATTTCTGTATTTTATGTTAAATAAATATCATTTTATTTGAACATGCAACAACCCTTTCTCTCATTTTTTATTCAACAAACGGTGACTCATGAAATCTTTCCTCAACATATTAACTAATTAAAACTTTTATAATTGAAAACTTTAAAAGTAAGCAAATTAAAAATACTTTCAAAAGAAATTAATTTCAACATATGAAGTATTGTTACATATAGGGCAGCATAGTTCACAAAAGAAAATTATATTTATGTGTATTTTTATGAAAAAAATTGTTTGATCAGGAGGTCCTACATGGTTGAGTGGTCTAAGGCACATCAGATCAAATGGCAGTTTCCCCTAGTGGATGCAGGTTTGAATCTTTCTGGAGGGTGCATATTTTTCTAACAAGATTTCTCAAATATTCAGGCTTGTAGATGTAAATAAATGAATATACTGTTTAATAAATAAATAAAAACAGAGTATCTACTTAAATATGAGCATCCATTTAAGATTATAAAAATTATAATTTTCTACCAAATCCAAGATCTTGTGCCAGACACAAAAACTTAGTCCAGTCGAAATAGCAAAACATAATAAGTGTGAAATTAGAAAGCAAGATAACCACTGTGTAAAATTTTAAAAAGGAAAAACACATTTATTTTACAATTACAGTTTCAAAAAAGGTCTAAATACAAAGGGTTGTACAAAAATTTTCTTTTCTGTGCGTATTATGTCAAGATAACAATTTTCTGAGGCTACAAAACGAGGACAACCATTAGATATAAGGAAAAAAATGTCACAGTTTTTAGGAAAAGACAAGGATTCAAAGACAAAAAAAGTTTACACCCTTTAAAAAAGGGAAAAACTTAGAGGAAGCAAAATATTACACAAGGCAGAAAATACAAAAGGTATCCACCTCCGTTCTTAATGGAATATTCAATAATAGGACATCTCAGCAAGAAGGGGTTTATGTGTTTTCACAGGTTGTTATCTTGAGGGCTTTTCATAGTACTTTGCTGGAAAGTTAAAATTGAAAGTTTGTTCAGTCTAAATACTTATCAGAAAGGCACAGAAAGGAATGTTCTGTCCTGGGGTTTGAATCTGTCAGATCTTTCTTTTCTGTGTTGATGTATGACCCGCTCAGTTGGACCAGTTCTCTTGAAGTGTGGGTGTTAATACTTCCTCCTCGGCCATTAATTGCTCTCTCAATGGTTCCTTCTTTTTCCTGTCGATCCACTAAATAGCAGTTCTTTTATTAAACAAAGTAGCATCAAACTGGCTCACTTCAAGTTTTCACAAAGTTTTGAAGAGATCTTGTGCCTCATTGACCAGTAACAGAAACCTTTCTCCAAGAATTGATCTACTAAGGCCATAAACAAATGCAACAATTTTCACAAACCATCTGGCCTTCAGAAAAATACACATCTCTTAAAAAAATGTGTTTAAAAAAAAAAAAAAACCTAGACAATTATACATTTACAATTCTAACATTTTTAAAATAATAAAAACAAAAATTTTTATAAAATAATATTTAAACAAATAAATTTATTTGTCTACAGTTAGATCTTGTCGGTGATACATTTCATTACATCAAACAGAATGGATTAAAAGAAGATAAAAAAGGGAAACACAATATACACTTGTACCTACCTTATGTATGGTGTGTTAAACCAAGACCGTGCTGAAACAGAAAGTCGGGGGGACGTAGAGAAACAAAAAAAGTGTGACACAGAGAGAGCTTGGAGGAGGTTCATCTTTTTACTTAAAGGCAGTTGTGTGTAATGAGGGTTTAAAATTCATATTTCGTGACCTAATGATCTGTTGAGGACAAATTTTTCCCTTAAACTGCAAGTGACCTTTTGAAATTAAAATTTATTTTTATTTTTATTTTTTTAATCTTATCTTCATGAATTTGTTATCAGCTGAGAGAACCGAAATTGTGTTGAGCATCTGAGTGGGAAACAGAAAGAGAGAGAAACAGAGAGTAAAACAGAAAGAAAGAGAGGGACATAGAAATCCAAAAAGCGTGTCAGTGATACAGAGTGATTGGAGTGGAGGGTCATCCTAGATAAAAAAAAAAAAAAAATTTAGAGAGAGGTTACAATCTTGTTTTGTGACCTAGCAATCTTTTGAGGACATTTCAGTATTTTTAAGAGAGACTGTCACTTTTCTTATGACTACCTGGGAATAGTCATGGTTTGAAAAGTACAGAGTGCACAGTATTAAAAAATTTATTACTAAATCAACCTTAATTTACATGGGTCCTGCTAAGCTAGTGTATATAACAGGCGTCTGCAATCCCCTAGCCGCAGAAGGATCTTGATTTTTGAACCATAAGGAATTTTTTTTTTTTTGTTGTTGATTGCGTTAGTTCTTATCCTTTTATTCCTGCAGTAAAACAAGGAAATGTGTTTAAAATAAATAATATGGCATTAACTTCGTTTTTGTTTCTTTAAACCTCCAGACCAAGGCAGCCTTCTGAATGTAGCGGTCTGAGGTCGAGCCAATTTTATCCTACATTTGATATTTCCTAGCATAAAAGGGTATTTTCTTTTCAGTGTACACCGCATAAATAGAGTAATTTCCCTTTAAAAGCAAATTTCGTCTGATAGTAAAACTAACGCTAAAACTTTTTAGAAATATGAGGAGATCCGTTAGTAATTATATTAGATTAGAAAGACAAAATGTCTTTTACTAGTGAGTTAATACAAAATTCTTTATATTTTATCCGGACATTAGCGTGAATTGGAGCAGAATACAAAAAATAAAAATAAATACACTTTTGAAGCGAAGAAATTATTATTTCTCCTCATGGTTTTCTGGGGTTGTTGGCGACCAGGCCGAAAATTTGTGCTGTCCCATTTCAGTCGAAAAACAGTTTCTAACAATTTACGAACGAATAAATGGAATCGAAATGAGATCTTCAATTGCACCAACCCAAAAAATAGTTCTTCGTCTTCCACTTCCTATGCATCGTCAACCATCACTGTCACAAATCAAGTAAGTAGAAAAAAACTGCTTTTAACAAATGTTTTCTCTCTTTCTTTATGTGTCATCTTTGTGAACATAAACTATCACTTTGTTTTTGGGCGCTACTTTGTTTTTATCCTTTACTTCTCAAAACACCCTTCCAGGCATTAAAATTTAATTTGCATTTATGATGGACGTCTGGAAATTGTTTTCAATCAAGAAAAAGTTGTTTTCAATTTAAAATACAAAAAAAATAAATAAAATAAAATAAAAAATTCAAGAACCAATAAAAAAACTTAACCTTTTAAACAGGATATAAATGCTGTTATAAAGTGATACCAAGTTTGATTCCACATAACTCTCTGCAAAGTAATCATCTATCAACTAGTAACTAATAATACGACTTTTTTTGGTTCATTCGAATCTTTGACTTGCATCTCTGCCACTTTTTTAGCTTACTCGCAATTTGTAATTACACCCGTGTTTGGGTCAACAACGCTTTCATAGTTTTTTTTAAACTAAATGTAGTTTATATTATCATCATCAGCAATACATATTTTTTTTTTTTTTTTTACAAAGATCACAAATGCAATGATTGCAAGGGTATGTTCACTTACAGTAAATATGGTGTTTTCCGGGGGTGCAAAAGTGAAAGTATACTAGCCCCACTTTTGAGGGCATTTTTAAACATTTATTTGTACGACTACGACGAAATAACTCTCAAGGTCAGTGAGTACATTTTTAAAAATGATTTGCCCATGCACCTATAGCAGACGATGCTTTTGAGAAAAACAAACTTAACTTTTTTAAATGAATTTACCTTTCATATTATTATCTTCATCGATTGTATATTATCATCATCATTCTATAACCGTACGGCCTAATTAAGCAGTATAGATCAGGTAGACGATGATAAGATTTGAAGTTAAATTCTCGTCCGATTTCCTTTGGGACACACTGTATGGACGACGCGACAACATCAAGTTTTTATTTATTACTTAAAAAAAAGAATTTTAGTCGTGCTTAATCACACTTCGTCGGTTGATTTTTTATTCTGCACGCCATACTTTTGTTTTTTTTACTATTTAATTTACATCTCCCACTTACAATTAGAAAACTTATTATTTTATAAGATTCCAAAATAATTTATTTTTCCAGGACCATTTAGTAAAGTTTGGTTAATTTTATTTTTCTAAAAAGATAATTTGTGTTGTGCAGTGTATTGTCTAAAAATAAATTCTCTTTATTGCGGATGTGGGCGTTTTATTCAAACTTTTGAAAATCCATGAAATAAATAAAAAAATAAAATGTTTAAAACTGGAACTGGGCAATTAAAAAAAATCACCTTAAATTTTTATTTGTTTCTTGCCTAGTCGTGTTTTGACAAAAGTTCAGCTGTTTCTAAAACATATCTTTTGAGAGAGATCATAAAAAAAAATAATTACTTAAAAAATTACAATAAAAAAAGAATGATCTTTTTTTGTTGTAATTTTTTAAGTAATTATTTTTTTATGATCTTTAGAATTTTTTTTTTTTTTGTTTGAGAGTGGGTGGTTGGTAATGTAAGTTAAATAAATTCTTATTCAGAAAAGGCTGCATAAACTGTATTTTTTAAAAAAATTCAACGAGAGATTACTGAAAAAAAATTTCTGCTTGACCTACTTCTCAAAATCTGTATTTAAATAATCAAACATCAAAACTTGTATTTTTTTTTCACTTACGTTCATAGTCACACCAATGCGAGGGCCAAGAAGAGCCACTCGAGGGTTACTGAATGAGGTTGTTGTACGAGCGGTAAGAGAAGGTGAGATGTGCAGTTTATGAGATAAATTCATCAATTTGTACTTTGTAGTGAGTGCGGAATAATATCTCCCTTGAAGTGAAGAAGAATAAAAATTCGTGAAGCTACGTTGTTTTTGGTCCCAATGAAAACCTTGCCTTCACAGAAATTAGCTGTGAACCAAAAAAAAGAAGGAAAGAAAGTAGCTAGCCTATACAAAATTCTTTTTGATATCAAATGAGGAGAAAAATTAAATTAATGAGTGTCTGAAGTCATGTGAAAGGTTTTATTTCAGTTTCTTACAACCAGCATTGAAATAATCACCAGTGTAAAATTACTCACCAATTAATATTATTGGCCTCTAACCAACACACTGCACTTCAAAGAATTTTCTATCAACAGTCTAAGAAAGCTAAGTATTTCAAACTATATCTCTTTATCTACTTTTGAACGTATGCAAGCCATATGTCCCTTAAGTGAGCAACAAACTTTGTCTCAAACATTTTTGAATATTATTTTGTGACAAATCATCTAATCTGTTGTATGAACATTTCCTCTTCATGACAGTATGTTAAAACTATGGACTTTAAGAATTCTGTTTTATTTTTTTAAAACTAGCTACTGATACTATTTCAAGAATGTAAATTCGTGTATAATTCCTTATATTGTTTTGTTAAAATTACCCATGTATTTCCTCGTCATTATTATCCTTCATTGATCTTCTTGGCTTGGGTAAATCAACTGTTCATTTCAGCTCCTACCCCCCCACACACACACACCACTATAATCTGGTGACATTCAGCAGTAAGATGATGAGGCCTAGTTACCAATCTTGTAATATGCTTAAATTAATGCAGTTTATGTACCAAGAAGTAGAGCTCATTCAAATAACTGCCCTTAAATGTTTATAGAAAAGACACAGGGAAGCCATGTTATGGATGCAGTAAGTTGAAATGCCTGGTCAGGACCAATATCATTACAGACCCTTCTTTGGATTTTGTTAATAATCTCAAGATTAGATTGCTGCAGGAGCAACAGACCAGATATGGCAGCAATATTCAGTGTACAGGCAAATGATAGATTTACAAATGTGCAAGATGGATTCTGTCAAGAAAAACTATCTGGCATGACACAGTGAACCAATGTTCCTAGCAGCAGATCTAGTAAGTTTTGTTCATCTCTGCTGTGGCCAGGTATTGAACTCAGAGAGTTGAGTTACTAAAGGGAAATAACTGAGATATCCAGAAAAAGCATGGCTCATAGAACTAGAACAATCTACTTCAGTGGACTAAATGAACTAAATTCCAACATATATCACCTGAAGAAGGCCAGAAATAAAACAGCTGAAAAGCGAATATGACAATGAAGATGAGGACAACAATCTGGACAATGTAAATAGTGTAAATAAATATTTTCATGGTAGTTGTTTTGATGAACTTTCTTCTTTTATACTTAGACTTTATGAATTTGAGTGCAGTACTAGTTTGTTGGATAGTTCTCATCATTTTACACTTGAAATGGCTAGATGTAACCATAGGTTCTATGTTGATAGTTTTTCTCTCACATTTCTTGCATGTGGAACTCTTCCAATTCCTTGCTTTTCAGTCAACTTGGATCTTTAAAAATTTAAATGCAAAATCAATCATTATCTTGTCTTCTTAATTCCTGTTCTTTTAATGTTTTCTCTCCTTAATGTTTTTCTTTTTCTCATATTTTTTCACATTCAGTAACCTCCTTGCATCTTAGTGACTTTATTGCCTTGCTTGGGGTGTAATGAGTAAAAAAAAAAAAAGTTGTCCTATTCAGGCTTTGTGTTTCTTCCTTATTTCTGCTGCTTTCTTGATTGGTCACCTGACTAAGCAGCTCAAATGCAAATGTTTCTTACCAAATAACTGACGAATAAATAAGCTATCCACCCAGATTGCTTATTCTTTACTTTGTCTTGCCACTTTTATTCCTCAAAGGCCTTGGTGAATTCACCTTCAACCAAATAGCCAATCAGGGACAGATGTCCAATTTACCTTCTACCAAATAACCAATCAGAACCTTCCTTCTAACAATATCCATTACCATCCAAACATAGTATACTGTATTCTCAATCAATTTTTGACCACTTTGATGCAGATATATAATTTTTTTCTTTGCTCTTTTTATTTGTATACAAGATCTTTTTTGCTTTCTTAACGCAAAATGCCAAACTGTATTTTCTACATATCAGTCGGTTATATGCCATGCATGATACACACTTAGGCAATCATGTATCTTTTGATACACGACTGATGAGGCAGATTTTTTTCCTTCAGTAGGTTGCCATTTCTTTCTGCAGTAGACCAGTTGCCATCCAAGGCTATAGAACCCAGTTTATCCTGCTATTTACCCATAGCTGGTGGGGAGAAGAGGATTCATAGCTTTCTGAAAGGTATTAACACATAAGTGAATGTAATAGATACAGCTGGAATTTGAACTTGGCCCTCTGATTCCTCAATCTGAGCCACTATCCATTACTCCACTGTACCTCCCCTTATACATATCACTATTTTTAAATTGTTTTTAATCCCTAATTCACTGCCAGAGTAAGAAGACTCAAGACAAATTTCTTGCAAAATATTTTATCAGCTACGCTAGAATTATAAAAAAAATTTCACCCAAAACATCTTGCCAGCCATTTTCAAAGTTAATATATTATACAAAGCAATTTCATTATTGTTTTTTTTAATTTTCTTCTTTTTGTCTTTCTAGGTTAATCATTTAAAGCCATCCAAGAAATATTTTGAAAATGTAGACGTACTTCCATTCAGTGCATTTCTGACTGATAAATATGGACGACATCACTCGTACCTTCGTATATCACTGACAGAGAAATGCAACTTGAGATGTGAGTTGATATTAAACATTGCAAAAAAAAAACAAAAAAAAAACAGGAAAACATTACTGAATGTCTTTTCTCTTACTTCTTACAACAATTTAATAAAAATTTACCGCAATGTAAATTTTTTTCATTTCACCATATTAGTATTCACTTTGAATAATTACTGATTTGTGTTTGAGGATGTAGATTTTACAACATCTCTATCCCTGTTGGGTCATTTAATATAGAAATCCATCTTTTCTATTCTTTGAATCTTAAGCATTTACTTGGCTCAGGGATAGGTAAATATTGGTTGTTTACATCGGACCCTATAAGACATTGGTTCCCAAAGTGGGGCACAGGGAAGCAATTCGATTTTTCATGGTGGCAATTCGAGAATGAATTATTAACAGTGAATTTTTTTCTAGGGAGTCTGTGAGTATGAGTTAATACATACAGTTCATATACAGTATGTATACATAAAAATAATTGTGCATATACATGTGTGTGTATGTATATATATATATATATATATATATATATATATATATATATATATATATATATATATATAAATTTATTTAAAAATATGATTCCAACACGCTACATAAGAGTTCTCATGTTTCAAAATAAGAGCTGAAAACTTCAATATAATTATTTGAATTAAATTGAATTAAAGTACTAAGCTCTGTTCCATCTTCAAGCAAAATCTTTTTTGGAATAACTTATTTCTGAAATTTACGTGTTTTAAACTTTTACAAAAAACAGAGGAATTAATTAGAAGAATGAGATGGAAAGCATACTTCTACTTTCGTGGGAATAACTCAACCGATAATGAACGCGAAGTTTACAGCTTTAAAAGTAAAAAAGTTACACCATTCAACAAAAAGTTATATGAATTTGAAAAAGACCTACTGAACATTATCAATAACATCTCCTTTCAAAAAAAGAAAAGCCACTTTCAAAAACATCTAGACCAAATAGTTAAAAGCATAAATGATTGTGATAAAATACTAGTTAAGTCTGACAAAACTGGCAACTTCTACAAATTGGCAGCAGATGACTACAACAACTTAATTAAAAAAAACTTAACCAAGACTTATAAAAAAGCTTGCAACAACAACATAAATATGGTTAATAGCATTAACAGAGCTAGTAAAAAAAATACTGATAAATTAAAAATTAGCGATAGAGTAAGCAAACTTGCTGAAAAGGAATGTTACATAACTCTTAAAGACCCCAAACAAGATTTTATGGAAAACCCTACTACAAGAATAATTAACCCTACCCGACACGACATAGGTAAGATCAGCAAAAGAATCCTGAAAAAAATTTACTTGCCAAATAAAAAACCACCTTGGATTAAAATTATGGATCAATACCAAAGATGTCATCAATTGGTTTACCAATATTGATAATAAACCTGATTGCACCCTATTACAGTTCGATATCGTGGATTACTATCCGTCAATATCAAAGGATCTATTCACGACTGCCCTGGAGTTTGCTGCTGTGTATTCTAACCTGACAAAGGAAGAAATAGATATAATTCTCAGTGCAAAAAAATCTGTCCTCATTCATAATGGGGACCAATGGATAAAAAAACAATAATGACCTTTTGACATCACTATGGGATCTTTAGACTCTGCAGAGTCTTCTGACCTTGTTGGTCTTTTAATACTGTACAACTTGACCGCGCACAGTGAAATAGATATTAAGGACATCGGACTGTATAGAGATGATGGGCTCATGGTGGTGAAGAGTTCTACTAATTTTAAAATAGAGAAAATTAGAAAGATTATATTTAGTGAATTTAAAAATCTAAACTTAAAGATAACAGTCTGTACTAAATTGAAAAAGGTAAACTTCCTCAACGTAACTCTAGATTTAACAAACAACACATACCAACCTTATAAAAAAACAAATACTAACCCCTTATATATACACCCGAAGTCAAACCACCCTCCATCCATAATTAAACATATGCCCTCATCAATAGAGAATAGAATCAGCATTAACTCCGCTAACAAAGAAATATTCCAACAACACAGTAACTTTTATAACGCTGCCCTAAAAAATAGTGGACACAAAAATGCTAACATCAATTATAGAAACAATTGTACTAACCAGAAAAAAAACAGGAAAAGAAAAATCATTTGGTATACCCCTCCGTTCAACCAAATGGTTAGTATTAAGCTAGGACAGAAATTCCTAGATTTAATTGAAAAACATTTTCCTACCAATAGTAGACTTAGTAAAATATTTAATAAAAACACTCTAAAATTAAGTTAACAGCTGCACTGAAAATCTAGAAAGTATAATAAAAAAACACAATAATAAAATCCTGAACAAACTCCCATGCCTGAATAGTATTAATAAAAACCCTACACTTAAATTAGACAAAAATAGTGAAAAATTATGTGATTGTAGAAACCCAGAAGACTGCCCATTGGAAAATAAATGCTGCGTTAAATCTGTGGTATACCAATGTACTATCTCATCCATTGAGAGTCCTAATACTAATATGATATACATTGGGTCTACGAAGAATGAATTTAAAGCCAGAGCATAAGTGCTCTTTCAACAATATAAATAAAAGAAATCAGACATCTCTATCTAAATATTTTTGGCATTTGAAGGAAATGAATAAAACACCAAAAGTAAAATGGAAAATTATAAACAAAACTAGAACTTGTAAAACTTGGGATGACCCATGCCCTTTATGCCTCCATGAAAAACTACACATTATTAAGTTTCTAAATAATAAAAATCTATTAAACAATAGACATGAGTTAACGGTTTTTTGCCGACATCATCAAATTTTTGCATTGAATAATTAGCATAAAAACAAACAATAAAATAATTTTTAAAATCCATATTCCTAATAAATAGTTTAAACGCCCTACAAAAAAAGATAGCCCTTTATGAAGTCGTCAAAAAACAAATGTTAGCGATTTACGACAGTTTTTATATACACAAAACCCTTTCAGAAAAAAATAAAAAATAAATAAATCTCCATAGACACTTAACCAGACTAGGCGAAGTCATCTTCTGCTTTAAATTTAGGCACCCCAACCTTACCCTGACTTGACATCTGTGAATGTAATTTGATATTGATACAAATTATTAACACCTTACGCCCCTTTTTCTTTAAACAATTGCTCTAGCCGTTACCATAGAAATTTTGATTTCAATAATGAATATGCTTATAAAACACGTAAATTTTAGAAATAAGTTATTCCAAAACAAATTTCACTTGAAGATAGAACAGAGCTTAGTACTTTAATTCAATTTAATTCAAATAATTATATTGAAGTTTTCGGCTCTTGTTTTGAAACATGAGAACTCTTATGTAGCATGTTGGAATCATATTTTTAAATAAATAATTATATTTATGCTCTACTTTTGTATCGAGCACTATTTTTTAAAAGTAATAACAAAAATACTAAAGAACTTTGGATTATTTACCTAACAAGTTCTTTCCCTATTTTCTATATATTTTTCACATATATATATATATATATATATATATATATATATATATATATATATATATGTGTGTGTGAAAAATTATATATATATATATATATACTGTTTATAATATATTTAAAGTAACACAATATTTTTATAAATATTGTAAAATTCTAAAATTGAATGATATTCTATTGCATATATACAGTGTCAAGTTCTTAAGGAAAGTTAAGTTAATGGCCTTTTAGGCTTCCTCCACATGAAGAGGAATTCACTTTTTGAATAATCAGTATTATATATCACAATGTGGGCAGAATCAGGATTTTAGAGATGCTTAGATGGGGAATAGCCTTCCAACCCTCAAAAAAAGTTAGGAACCACTGCTATAATTATTTGCTTGGCTCAAGGATAGATAAATATTGGTTGTTTATATTAGGGTTTGTCAGCATTTACTTGGTTCAGGGATAAGTAAGTATTGGTCTGTTATATTTGAGTTTATAAGCATTTACTTTTTAGGTGTTGTGTTACCTCTCTGCAGGAGATATTGTTGATGTATTCTAGGCCCTACCAAAAATATTGATTGAAACTAAATTAAGTGTAGGTATCTTGTTAGTGAGCAAGTGTTAAAAAACTGATCTGGCTCAACCATTATCATTGTGGTGAGCTAAATCTTCATTGAGCGCTCCACATTTGGAACTTTATTCTAGACCAAGATAAGCTTATTTAAAAATTATATCTAAATTCTGAATGTATGTGTGTATAAAATATGTTAGTGAGTGAGTATGTGTGTGCACCTGTACATATGTATCTGTATATATTATATATAAAATTCTGTGACTTCTGATAGTCTGTCTGTCACACCCTTTTAAATGGCCATACATTTACTGATTGAAACCAAATTTTGGGGAGAAGTGCAAACAGGTAAGTGGGTACAAAGTAATGTTGATTTTAGTATGTATAGCTTAGTACAATAAATTTTTATGAATTTTTTCTGGAAAATTAAGTTTTATTATTTAACATACAAAATGCTATTTTTAAAACAATTTAATGAATGAAATAACAATTATTTAATAAAAATGCAATATTTTTTTGCATATCTTTTCTTTAATTTTTTATATATAAAAGAATCCAATTTCCAGTTGGCCTTGCATTTGCAAGAACTATAAATAAATCACAAGGCCAAATGCTTCAAAAAGTTAGAATTTGGCTCCAAAAAGAAATATTCGTGCATGGCCAGTTGTATGTTGCATGCTCAAGAGTAAGAAATCCTAAAAATTCTTCGCTGTTAAAAAGGGAAAAGGAAAAAATGAAATTTTCTTAAAAAATATTATTTACCATGAAGTTCTATAGAATTAGATTAAAGAAATTATTAAACTGTGAAGTAGGGTTTTTGTTAAATTATTTTCCAAACAAATCAACTTCAGATTTCATCAAGTTGTTTGCAAAATTGAACAAAAAATAAAGTTTGTAAATCTCAACAAAAATGTTAGCAATAATGTCAACAATACTAAATACTGTAAGGATTTTTTTTAAAATTCTAGTATATAAAACATAAA